TCAGTAAACTGCTTCACTTAAGTCACAAATAGATCAAAACAACGTCACCTATGTATGCCACAAATAAGTGGATTTGAAATCATATCAAATCAATACAAGAGGAAACTATTTAAAAATTAATCAAACACAATAATTAGATGAAGAGATTAAGATGGGGGTAAAATGTTATTTTAAGCATTAGAGTGGCAAAAATTCAAAAGGACAACAATATCCAGCCATCTCAATTTGAGACTCTACCTTATACCAATAACGGCACCAGCATATTAGGATGCATGCTGAGGGCTGGTTATTGAGGCGCAGCTTACAGTCACAGAAGTTGAAGTAGGGGAATGGCTGAATAGAATATGTAACTACTAAAAGGAATGGGTTAGATCTATGTGTTGACTTGGAGGGATGTCCATAATATTTTATTAAGTAGAAAAGAACAAATTGCAAAGCAATATGTACAATATGATTTTATGTTTATTTTTAAAAAGAAAAGGGCAGAATCTTTTATAGGTTTCTATATGTAATATATTATGCATATATATATATATTACATACACATATTTTAAACATAAATGTATGTACAGACACCCATTTCTTTAGAAGCATGATATTTAGAGAGGATTTGAAAAAAGGCAGATGAAAGAGAGAAAGAAGATGGATTCTTCATTAAATATTAACTTTTCTCCCTAAATCTTTGAGTGAACCTACAGCTGGTTGCTTCTGTTCTTTGTGTATTGTAGCACACCACAGCCTGCCCAGGGTCAGTGTAAACTAATTTGGGAAGCGGAGTGTTATAACAATGTACAATTAAGCAGACAGTGCCTTGGGGGCTCAGGAAGCTTCACGACAAATCACAGGCAGTAAGTGTCTGGCCACCCTCTCACCTGGCAGCCCAAGCTGGTGCCTCGTGTTTGTTCCTCAAGGTGCACAAGAGGGACAATGACAAAATTAAAACCCTAGGGGCAGGCATGAACAGAGTGAAGTATCTGTCCACCTCGCTCTATGAGAAGAGGGCAGAAGAACGGTAATAAGAAATGCATTTAGGTTGAGATGGAATTATTTGTTTTCAGATGTTTGAAGGTCTGTGCTGTAAAGAACAGAACAACTGCACATATAGCACCTTAGAAATAAGAGGGGGGAAAGGAGTTATAAGGAGGCAGATTTCAGCTCAGTGTAAGCAAAAACCTGCTAAGGAAGACTCCCTTGACCCCCAGTTTTCTCTTCTGTAAAAAGAGAAGAATGCCACGTACTTTTAACAGGGACACAGAGATGCTTTGAGGACTGAATGGGCAAACTGTAAGCCAGCAATGTGTCAACCGAAAAGCAGTGGGCCTTAACTCAGGCTGCGCATGAAAATTACTTGGAGGGTTAAAAAAAAAATCCTGATGCTCTTATCTGGCTGCACTGCAGAGAAGTCCAACCATAACCTCTGGAAGTGAGACTCGGGCATTGGTCATTTTTAAAGCTCTTCTCAGGCCATTCCATTGTATGGTTCCATTGAGAATCACTGATTTAAAATAATTACTAGTTGCATTCCAGGTAGTTATGGAAAATGTAGATTTGACCCCAGGCAGATCTGGGGGCCAATTTTTAAAAATGTCCGTTAATCTATGAATTGGAGCAAAAGATTAGAGCTGACCAACTCTGGAGTAAAATACAGATCGCATAGCCAGTCTAGAATATGATTAACAGTGAAGATAGTTTAAATAATATTTGTCTCCTTACAGATTATGATAAGCAACTCAGAAGAGGCTAGCCTCACCTCTTTTCCCAAAAGGATCCAAATGGGAAGATAAGGGAAACACAACTCATAAAGTGAATGTTTGTGGACTTTAGGGTGGTCCCCCAAAGTACTTGGGACTCCTCTGCATCAGCTGTGGGCTGCTTTTATTGTATATGATTTTATTATCCATGATTTTTTAAATGTCTGGTAATTGACTGAATACACCCATTAAATAATTAGAGCCTAGAGAGTGATTCTTAATTATAGGCCACAGAGTACTCCTCTTGCCCACTTCTAGCTTGTTCCAGTTATGTTAGTGATGGTTAAGCTGGGCAATGGTGGGGGCAGGGACACATAAGGAGTATATTAGAATAGGGGAGGTGGTGGGCCAAGCATAACTAGACAGATAAACACGAGGCTCTTTACTTTCCCCCTGCCCCCTTCCTGGTGCG